GAACAGAAATAGGCATCAATTTCGTCCTCTGCCTCCCTGATCCCCCTCAGCCTACTCACCGCAGCCTGGAGCTCACCCACCTGCTCCTCCAGGGCACTAAGGCGTGCACAGGAGGGACAGGCCGGGAGACCACCAGGCCCCACCCCCGCCCAGGGCCCCGCCAAGCCCCCTCCGCAGACAGGGGGGCAAGGGGCCACCGCCTCCACCATGAGCTCTGTCTGGGTGGAGGCCTCAGAAGAGCCCATGGTAGGCGGCAGCCCCCGGGCAGGGTCCCTGGCAGCTGCGCTCCGCGTCTGCATCACCATGACTGCAGAGGTGCGCCCGCTGCCTACTCCCTGGAGGAGCTGCCCTGTGCAGCTCCCTCGCGCCCGCCTTACGCGAACGCCGGCGCAAACGCTGGCGCGCTCTTACAGAGCGCGCCTGTTTGCGCGCACTATTCGCGTGCGCTGCCCACGCGCGGCTCGGGAGCGCGGCTCCCTGCCGGGCGAGCTAAGGCGTCGCCGAAGGGTTTCCCCTCCGGATCCGCCTCAGCTGTGCTGCGCTCTCTACCCCACTTACCTTAGTGGGGAATCAGCTGTTGCTGCCCCTGCTGCTGGTTTCCTCCGCTGCTGCCGCCTCCGCCGAGGTAAGCAGGTACACGTGTGTGTGATCACCTTTTGCCAAAAGGTGATCATGGGATACCAGGTTGAAGTCTTTTTTTTAAAGTCAAGATATATGACATCAGTCTCTTTTCCCTTGTCCAGGTGGTAGGTCACCTGGTCGTAAAAGGAAATGAGATTGGTCAAGCACGACCTACCTGCAACAAACCCATGCTGGCTATCCCTTGGGGCGTTGCCATCAGCCAGTCCGTTAAGAATGGCCTCTTTGATTTTTTTTGTCTAAGACCTTCCCTGGGTTGGAGGTCAGGCTGATGGGCCTGTAGTTTGCCGGATCCACTTTCCTCCCTTTGGTGAAGTGCCTGATGATTAGAAGAAGGCCAGTGTGGTGCCTGTCTTTAAAAGAGTGCCAGGAGCTCTTGAAGCCCCTTACCAGGGGCTGAGCTATGATGCAGGCCAGCTCCTTGAGTAATCTGGGGTGTAAATTGTCATGGCTGGCTGACATTTAAATATGAGAAGTGAGCTGTAGAACTGCAAACAACATAGTTCATTTTGGTTGCAACAAAATCATTTAATAGAGCAGTTAAATCTTTCCAAAGCAACATGAAAAATTATTTAAAGTTTACTTCCAAACAGTTTCACACTTAGTGTTTCCTGCAATAAAGTTGTCTGAAAGCATTAATGTGCTTGTTTTTGACCTGACTGTTTCCAATGTTTATATAAGCGATTTGTCTGTTACCTCTTTGAGGAAATTTGCATATGCTGATGACCTGGTACTAACCACATAGGCAAAGACTTTCAAAGAGATTGAATACATGCTGACATTAGGCCTGTGAATAATGGCAGAATATCTCTGCATGTGGAGGCTGTGACCAAATCCAGCTACGTCCATCATCTTGGCATTTCAACTCAATGAGCATAAAGCACATGTTAATCTCAACATAATTTTTGCAGGGAGAAATTACAGCATGATCCAACTCCGTCCTACCTAGGTGTGACACTCAACCACACCATAACCTTTTGTAACTATCTTCAAAAAATAGCTGTGAAGACATGGAGTCAGGTGAACATAGTGTGGAAACTTGCTGGAACAAGCTGGGGTGCCACCGCGGGAGTACCCTGCACTTCTGTTATGGCACTGGTCTTCTCAACAGTTGAGTACTATGCACCTGTCTGAACTGCTGACATTCATACCAAATGTGTGCATGTCCAATTAAATTCTGCAATACATGCTGTCACTGGAACCCTGAAATCTACACCAATTCTATGGCTATTGGTGCTGGCCAATATTGCTCCTCCAGACATTTGCTGTAACGAAGCTACATACAGAGAGGTCGTCTGCATGAATGATAACCCAGACCTCCCCATCCACAGAGATTTAAAGAACCTCCCAGCTCACTGCTTGGTCTCCTGGAAAGCTTTGTGGACACGTGTACAAGCCCTTATAGGTCACAACAGTGCAACAGCTTGGAAGAAAATGTGAAATGAAACCACCATTTAGAATAAACATCTAATTTCTGACCCAGCAATAAAGCCCTCCTGGTTTTTACCTTCCACGAAAAATGTGGAAGGCTCTAAATCAGATCCAAACTGGGCATGGTTGCTGCGGTCACTTGATGCACAAATGGTGTATTAGGAGTTCTGCAAAATGTGATTGGCAATCCTAATCAAACTATGGATGACATAACATCACTCTGCCCTCTATACAAATTTGACAGTGACATTGCAGAGATACATTCCTTTTCCTTAAGAGTATTAGACTGGTTAACTAACCTTAAACTGGACTTACCATTGTTGCTCCAAGACAGCCCTTTGAAAGAAAAATGTACTTGCCAGCTTTTAGGAACTGACTAGAACTTCATGTATAAACATGTACAGCAGCAGTTCTCAACCATGGTGCCAGGGCAAGTTGCGGCGCCTTGAGATCCTTTCTAGAGTGTCTGGGGGTGCTACATAAAGTTAGCAATGTTAGGTGCCCATACACGATTCGCAGAAAAAACCTAGAGATTTCAAATGGGAGTCCATAGTGTTAAAAGCATTCTGACATGTTATGGTTTTATGAGCTCTTTGTAACAGAAGAATTACTCTATTTTCCTGTAGTCAAAAATGAGCAAAAACTAAAAGCTGGCATTTTCTGAACTCCTCCCTCCCCCTCAGTCTTAACAAATCATGCCTTGAGTCTATAGAGGTTGAGAACCACTAATGTGGAGGATATTCATATAATTTTAGAATTTCTAGTATTCTGCAAAATTTAAGCTTTTATTTTACCATTATATTGGGTTTCTGCCCCTTTTGCAAAGACTCCCTGTTCAGGTATATAGAGGCCAAGAATTGGTTGAAGAGGTCAGCTTTTTTGTTTGTCGTAATCACCAGATTGCCAAGCCTATCGTGTATGGTAGTACTTTTTAAGTACATAGGAAGTAAGAAGAAGGCACTGGGTAATGTGAGGCCCCTACATCTTTATCAGCGATCTGGATGTGTGTGTGGAATGCATGTTGTCCAAATTCACTGATGACACCAAGTTGTGGGATGAGGTGGGCACGCTGGAGGAGAGGAACAGAATCCAGCTAGATCTAGACAAATTGCAGAGGTGGGCAGATGAGAATAGGATGGAATTCAATGCAGACAAGTGCAGGGTGCTGCATCTAGGGAGAAGGAACCAGCAACACACCTATAGGTTGGGGAACACCCTTGTCAACATAGTGGCAGAAAGGGAGCTTGGAGTCAGTGTTGACTCCAGGATGAACACGGGCCGCCAATGTGAGGAAGCGGTCAGTAAGGCTAACCGCACCTTGCCGTGCATCTACAGATGCATCACAAGCAGGTCCAGGGAGGTGATCCTTCCCCTCTGAGTCATTGGTTATGCCACAGTTGGAGTACTGCATCCAGTTCTGGGCGCTGCACTTCAAGAGGGATGTGGCTTCAAGAGGGTCTAGAGGAGGGCCACTCGCATGGTCAAGAGGCAGCAGGGCAGGCCCTACAAAGAGAGGCTAAAGGGCCTGAACCTATTCAGCCTCCACAAGAGAAGGCTGAGAGGGGATCTG